TGTACAAATTGCTTTATAAAAACATACTCAGGAGGTACACCAAAAGGGGAATATTATTGCCAGATAGACAAAGAAACTGTACATCCTCCCAGCTCCATACAGGTTTAACTGAACACCATCAAGGTAAAAGGTTGACAGAATTCATGTAGAAAAAAGCCAACAGAGTAGCCTTTTTGTATTACAGAACAGAGTTTTCCAGCAATCCGATATGTGTAACCATAGCAGGCAAAAAGAATAGGGACAAATTAAGATATGTCAATGCTTTCAAAGTGTTGTGTTAAATGGCCTGATTTGCATTAACATAGCAGATATGTTTTCATAATGCTATTTTCTCCCAAAGGAGTAATGCACTGAATATGCCAGACCATTTCCTCATCTTGCTAGTGACATTTATCATCTTGTTTTATCAAATGCTGTGCCACAGCTGAATATATCAATCATATCTGTCTGACTCCTGATGATTTTTGAAAAATGACTCCTGATGTTAAGAAAATCAAGAGATATTATCCCTGCCCATCAACATGCTCTTAAAAGCTAGTTATTACACTGCAATTTTACATCACCTTGTTTCAGCAAAACGATTTCTTAGATGAAAGGATTATAACGTGGGCTGTAATAGTAACATTTTTAAATTTCAGTTATCATTTGGATAATAAAATGGCAGCATTGTGTGTGACATTTTTGTTGTTTCTTTTTCATTAATTCACTTTTTTTATTTACATTATTAACAGTGTGGCTGTCCTTTTGCCTTTCAAGCTATTCCAGGACAAGCAGATTACAGAACAGTCCATTACTTCTGGGTCATGTACTAGTGACACTTTTGCAGTAACAAGCTTGCAAATAAAAGCTCTTTGCTAAACAGACCTGCCGCCGCCATATGTTTGCAGATATAATTCACTAGCAAGAGGGAGAATGTTAATCAGAAGTGACACACAAATTCATTGTAATTGTAATGAAAACTGCCCTGTTACTGTTTACATGTTTGCTCTAGATAACTCAAAGTCAAATGTTTTGTTTGCGAATGAATAACTCCTTACAGGTATTTTAACTGAAGGGATGGGAAGGAGAGAAGGACAGAAAGGTGGTCCTGCTTCTAGACGTAGGTGAGCTGCCAATGGATCAGTATCTGGCCTACATAGTCAAAAATTGTGAATTGAAGGCAATAATAAAACACATGGTATGTGATGAAGCATATCTAGAATCAACAATGATATTTCCCCTTAAAACAAGTTCCTTACAGAGCGGGGAGGGAGAGAGGAAAATGTAACAAATTTTCACTCTGTTCTGCATGTAGGTTGCCCTCCAAAGTAAAAACCATTCATGATACCTGAGGAGATATATTTGTTTAAAGAGCCAGAGAGCTTGAGATGACAAAATGGTCACCTTGCTTATGAAAGAAAAGCAATCCTTGACTGCCTACGATCAGTGCAAGGAGGAGGTATTTTGTTTATTAGGTGTATACATTTATGCTTATGCACAAAAACAACCATTACTGCTAACTGAATCATTATTACCATTCTAACTGTAAAGGTAACTAACATTTCCTTCCAAACTATTTCAGTCTAATTGCAAGAGTAGGAGTGGGGCTCCTTTTTCAGGGCAGCAAATATCTGGCAATTTTCTAACACACATTTTAATTCTCTCTCTCAAACAGGAAAATAGAGAAAGGAAAAAGAGTTCTGTCAGAGAACAGAATATGGCAATTGCATTTTAAAAATGAGCCCAATTCTCTCCTACAGCATTTATCTGTGCATTTATGAAAGCCAATTTGGAACAGGAGATGGGGCTAAGGAACTATTAAAGTATCTCTTGCAACTATTCTCAAAGAACAGCACGAGCAATGAGCAGCATTTTGCAGCTGGCAAGTCATTTGCAAAATTAAAATATTTTGCTGAGAATCAGAAGTTCATACCTTTGGACAGCCACCAAACACACAGAAGTCACCACCACATGGTCAGTTTTTCTAGGCTGTTGGGAAAATTGGACATATCTCCATGTATCATAGTAAGAAGACAAGCCGTCGTAGTGTTTCCTGCTTACCTATCCCTCTGCACAGGTGAGTTAGTGGTAACCATAGCAAGGAGTAGCTACTGCTAGTCCTGTTCTTCCTGATAGATGGACATTGGTAGATGAGAAGCAGATAATGCCTATACTATTCCTCATATGCCAGAGCTGAGGAGAGCCCTCCTCTTCCCAAATATGGTGCTATCTTTGCCATCAAAGAGCAGAAAACATTCCAAGTAACTATGAGGACATTCTAGAAAAAGGCAACGGTAGATAAAACGTCACCAGCCTACTTATACTTTGATTAAATCTTAGAAATTATAACCATTTTGTCCCTTTCCCTAATAGTCTTAGGACAATAGAGGAGTACTTTTATTTAACAAGACATGTCTCCTTGGATACCTTGCACAAAATATATGGCATGTTCCTATCTGAATTTGGCTAGGTGCCAAGTGAATGAATAAAAACTAAGTTTATTCCAAAACAAATCAGTTTTCAAATCTTTGTGTGTCAAATTAATATTCTTCTCTTTGTCAATGTGTGAGGAATGGCTTTGTGAAAATTAGAAAGACAGACTTTCCCTTAAATATTCTAGTTTCAAAGCTGATATTTTAAAATGCACCATTAGTACCAAATGAGGGATCTGCATCACTTTCAACACCACTGATGAAGTTCATGTCTCTGATTCTAGTGCAAATGAACATGGTTAGCAGGCAAAGTGGGGAGCTTGAGTAAATACTGAGCAGGTGCTTTTGTGCTGAATGTTGTTGCCAAGGCATTGAAATCACCATCTGGGTTCAAACTACACAGAAAGATCAGACAGAAGTAGGCAGTGCCTAGAATAGCACTGTGGTTGTGATGGACAATACATTCATATTCATGTAACAAGTGATTCTAATTTGGTTTCCAAAAATAAAAAAGGACTAAATCCCAACATGCTTCCCTTTTTACATCCTTTTAAATCTAGATTATACTGATATTCCTATAAATGTAAACCCTAAGGGCTACATATCCTGCTAGCCAAATCTGGATTAACTTTCCTCCCGTCCTAAAACCTTCCACACTAGCTGAAGGCCAGCTCTGGAGGGTTTCCCCAGTTCTCCGTAACTTTGTTTTGAGAGTTCATGAGAAGGTGAATTATAGAAGCCTACTATTTGATCCTGCACAAGCTTTCGCTGTTCTTTTTCCAAACTGACACAGGAAGATAATTGATCCAAGGCAAGGTGGCAAGCTGTTGGATACCTAATTACTGTTGCTCTGCAAAGAGAACATGTCCTTCAGGAACCTGCATTCTCAGTGGACCAGAAGCTACATTCAAACAAAACAGAAGATTTTGTGCCACAGCAGAATGCTACTTAAAATTGCAAAAAGGAATTTAGGGGAGCTGAACCAGGAACCACAAAATATAGGGACAAGCACATTTTTAGAAACTCAAATGTACATTACTCTGATATACCTCATCAGCTTCAGCCATCCACATTATTTTTTCCATGAAGGATCCTATTAAATTTGTTGAAAGTCTTCTTAAAAAGATCTACTTGACTATGTAAGCTCAAGAATAGCTGATTTTCACATAATCTATATGATATTGCTATGGTATTGTTGAGGCTTCCAAAAAAATGAAAAAGACTTCATTTTAAAATGCACACATTTGAATAACAATTCATCAGGTGGATAGAGATGTGCAGTTTACAAACTTCACGATGCACAAATATAAACAAGCAATTAAACCATGACAAAGAAGATAAATAGTGCTTGGAAGATGATCTCCTACAAAAATAAAATACCTAGAGCTCTGATGAAGTGTTACACAGGTATATGTGCAATGCAGAGTGTATCCTAATGTTCTGAAAAATTGAATGGAAAGATCACCCGACTAGACTGATCAGTCTACATCTTCGGCTGATAGGCAGTATTCTGTTTTCCTTCTTTCTCGGTACTGGCAGAGTGGGGGTATATATGACTATGTGTGAATGTACATGCACTTAAAAACACCCCTTAGTTAACCGAATATCACATATTTGATGTCTAAACATGGTATATAAATTTAATGAACTGAAAAGAAATAATAAAACATTGTTATGTAAATTGTACACCTCACTGTAAGTGTACGATACTGAGAGCTTATTGTGCTTTTCTCCTATAATTTTTTCATAGCTGCTGCTATAGAAAAGCAGGATGTAAAACTACTATTTGGAGCTATAGCATACAAGGCTAACAAAATAATTGAAAGTGAGCCTGTGTTCTCAGGCTTGGGTTGCTTCAATTATTTGCTTTTCAGTTAGACACAGTGGTGTTCAGTAATTTAGTATGCCCATTTGCTGGTGCCAGTAGGTATTAGGACAAGTTCTTTGTAGCCCCACAGCTGTACAGTACACAAGCTATTCTGTACAATGTATTTATGAAATTATTGCCTTTTTTTCCTCCAGAAGGCGGTGTTTACCACATGCTGAAGCCAGCAATGGCAAGTTGCTATTTGGTGTTAACATGGAATGTATCAAACTTCTTTAAAAAAAACTTGAGTTTGGGAGTAATCATACTATTAGGGTGCACCCCAAAGTTTATCCCATTTCTGCCCAGGCTTCTTCAACAAGCTATTGTTTACAAGTAGTAGCTTTATTCAACCTGCAGGAGAAACTATTTTGGGACAATCTTTACACATTTCTCAGCTGCTAACTAGGCATTTATTTAGCTGGATTGTGAGTGATGTTGATTTCATGAAATACTTCCAGTTTTAAAAAGTGCTTTTCCCTTTATGGATCAATAAAGGGCCCAAAGCACTACTTTTTCAGTCTCCGCTAAATTACAGATTTACTTTCTCATATCCTTCCCCCTCATGTACCTTTGTTAGGATTTTCTGGCTGTGTGCTAAGGAATATTAAATTAGGCAAATTCTCCAGGGATAGTTTTGGAACATGTTTGTATGTGTGTATGTATGCATATGTGTATCCCTAAAGCTCCATCACAGATGGAATTTTTGCTGGTCATTTCCTGGAACCCATCCATTAGCAGAGAAGAAAAAATATACTGAAAAAGTCCACACATGATACAAAGAGCAGAAAAGGAGAGGCATACAGGCCAGGTCAGTTCTCCCCTGGGATGGGGTTTGTTAACGGCTGGCTTACAATGACTTGCACCACGTAGTCCCTTGGTATTTTTAGTTCCTCCAGTTTCATTTTGTCTGCTAGTGGCCTGCCTGAGAAAAACCACCGCTGACTGGTAGGCTCCACGCCCTCTGCTGTGTGCAGTCTCCTCTTCATGTGATACACTGTGTCCATACTGCGGACCACAAGTTTGAGGTCTTTGCCTGTTGAGAGGCGTAAACGAAGCTGGCATTCATGACCAGAGTTTGGGGGCAGATCTGGAATATCCAGAGTCTCTAGGTCACCCTTTTCTTCTATCATGTTGATGGGGGGAGCAAGGCAGTAGACAGGAAGCTGGTATCTGTTTCCCAGTTCGTCATAGCACTCTGTAAGAGAACCTTCAGGACAGAAGGGAAAAGAAACTCAGGTCAGTGGCACAATTCTGATTTGTATAAATGCCGCACTCCTTGATATGGCTGGTCTTTAATTCAGGCACAGCTTACCCTCAGGCTCCAAAACAGTTTGTAACTGATATCTGATACTATCCAGCTTCATCTACAGTATTAATGTGCCTCTAAATCACATCAAATGGGTTTCCCTGACTGCACAAACACGGACTCTTTGTAAATACCGGTTAAATGTTTGGGATCAGAAATGTTTTGGATTATTTTATTTTTTGCTTTTGTATTCTGGAATACCTATCTATATACAGAGGTATCTTGGGTATGGAACCCAAGTTTTAATACCAAATTTATTTATGTTTTATATACACCTTTACACAGCCGTCCTGATTCCCTCTGCGGAGGTTGAGAAAGGATGGATAAAAAAGGATAAAAACCCTAAATAAATAAATAAATAGTCTGAAGGTAATTTTATATAACATTTTAAATGATTTTGTGCATGAAACAAATTTAGAGTATAGTTAACCATTAGAAAGTCAATGTGTTACTATTTTAGCCACCCATGAGGACAACTTTGGGGTATTTCACATTTTGAAATTTCAGATAAGGGGTACTCAATCTGTACTAAATTGTTTTTCTGTAAAAATTACTTTAAGCAAAGTAAGTTCAACTTAGCAATGACAAGTTATGAGAGATATACAAAGTTAGTAGAACAAAGAAGTTCTAACAAAATATTATACAGAGAAGAACCAAACTGGTATAGAACAATCTACAATAATTTTGAAAACAGTCTAGCTGAAATTAAACAAGTTTAATGTTGAAGTGTTTTTCTATATGCATTCAACTACCACAAAGTTCAAAGAAATTTGCCAATATACAATTAAGGGCAATGGGGTGGCTTAATAAGAATCGCTTAAAAAGAAAGAAAGCAGAATTGTTGCATAATATTTCTGAAGCAGGAACAAGACCCTGAAATTGTTTCATACTATTCTGGCAAAGTAAGAAAAGAAAAGAAAATGTGAACCTCAAATAGTAGATATAGTTCTCTTTGTCTCTTGGGTTCCAATACTTTCCATTGAAATTCTGAGCAGTTCAAATAGCAGTCTGAAATTGAAAAGTAGCTGAAGGGGAATGTATCCGAAAAATTGCATGTCTGGGAATACAAGCTAAACAGGTATCTATAGAATATGAACAGAGCAATGTTTTTTGCAAATACTTTTATCACCTGAAGTGTACTGGCTGCAGATCCCATCCTGCTTTAAACTTAAAAAAAAAAAAAAAACCAGACAGATGTATAACAGGTCCAATATAATCACCTCTTGAGAATATTATCAAACATAGAGGCTTGCTTTTTCTTAGATTATTTCCAGAATGACATGCATTCAACAGTTACAATCAGTTTTCTTTGCTTTTAGAAAAGGAAAAATTATTCTTATCTCTTCAACCTTGTATTTTGAACAGTTCTGATGTTTTATTGTCAATATTTTAAGGACTTCATTGCTTGTTTTTAGTGATGTTTGTTTAGTTTAATTGAAAAGAGGAATAAAAAGAGGTTAATAATAGTAAATATCTATTTAGCCTATTCAACATTTCTGGAAAACACACTAAAAGATTATCAATTGCTTGCACTATGCGAGTATATCTGAAGTGTTCCAGACCAGAAGATCGAGAAGCTTTGCACCTTAAAAGTATATCAGACAAATACATGATAGAATATGTTTAGTGATAATCAGTCCTTGAAGTAGGAAGTTTGACTGTGTGACCCATAAGTAAAGATAGAAGAATGTGTAGTCTTAATAATATTTTTGAGTAAGAATTCTGGCTGGAGACCGAATAACGAGCTAGCCAGTCTTTTTACACCTCCGTATTTCTATCATAGTCCTCAGGAGTTCTACATGTAAAAAGAAAAAGTCACTGCCTGCAAGAGAAACAACTGAATACTAGTGGCACTTTTGTATACATCTAACACCTCAGTAATACTGAGATGAAAATGCTTTGATACTAAATGTTAAAACCACTATAAGGTTTCAGAGAACATATTTCAGAGAGCACATATATGCCCCCCGCCCAAAGTTTCATGTTGTATTTTGGAAAGTATTTTTTAAAAACCTAACTATAAATAGCAATGTGTCTGACCACGTAATGAGAACTAAAAATTAAGGAAACCAGAATTTGTCCCCATATACATTTATCATGCACAAAATCCAAAAAGAAAGTAAAACCCAGGGAAAGTGGCATTATTATTATTATTATTATTATTATTATTATTATTATTATTATTATTATTATTATTTATTATTTGTACTCTGCTTTATCTCCCCCGAAGGGGACTCAAAGCAGCTTAACATAAAAACTGTAGCACAGCATTTAAAATATACAAATATTTAAACAGAATTAAATATAAACAGAACTAAAAGATTCGCAGGTAAACCCACGCAGACATATTTGATGCATATTCAAAGCTAAAACCGCAGCACCCCCTGAACTGATCTTAAAAACCTTCACCTTTAAAAGATTGCCTGAATAGAAAGGGTTTAGCCTGCGCAGGGAGGGGGTCATTCTAGTTTCCCTGGGCAGAGCATTACAGAGTCATGGGACAGTCACAGAGAAGGCCCTCTCTCTTGTTCCCACCAATAAAGTTGAGATGGAGGTGGGACTGAGAGAAAGACTTCTCCTGAAGATCTCAGGGCCTAGGTAAGTTCATAGAAGGGGATGTGGTCAGCCAAATAGCCTGGACCTGAACTGTCTAGGGCTTTAAAGCTAATAACCAGCACTTTGACTTGTGCCCGGAAAAAGACTGGCCACCAGTAGAACTGCCAGTCTCTCTGTAGCCAACCCCAGTTAGTAACCTGGCTGCAGCTCTTTGGACCAGCTGAAGTTTCAGAGCAATCTTCAGAGGCAGCCCCATGTCTAGCGCATTACAGTAATCCAGACAGCATGTAAGTAAGGCATGGACTACCGTGGTCAGATCTAGCTTCTCAAAGAACGGGCACAGTTGCTGCATAAATTTTAATTGTGCAAAGGCCCTCCTGGCCACCGCAGATACCTGGGCCTCAAAGTTAAATGCCGAATCCAGGATGGCCCCAAGACTGTGAAACTGTGTCTTCAGGGGGTGTGTGACCTCATCCAGCACAGGCTGGATCCCTCTTCCCTGATCTGCCTTCTGACTGACCAAGCGTACCTCTGTCTTGTCCGGATTAAGTTTCAATTTGTTTGCCCTCATCCAGTCCATTACTGATGACAGGGACTGGTTTAGGGTCAGGACGGTTTTCTTGGCTTTAAGTGGAAAGGAGTAGTATAATTGGGCATCATCTGCATATAGGTGGCACCACACTCTAAAACTCTGGATGGCCTCTTCCAGCAGATTCATGTATATGTTAAACAGCATGGGGGATAAAATGGAACCCTGAGGAACCCCACAGGTCAAAGACTACAGGTGCAAACAGGAGTCCTCCAGCACCACATTCTGGGTACGGCCTGTAGAGCCAATGTAAGACAGTGCCTCCCGGTTCCATCCCAGCAAGATGACCCCCAGAAGGACACCATGGTCAATGGTATTGAAAGCTGCTGAGAGGTCCTGGAGAACCAACAAGGACACACTTCCCCTGTCTAGCTATCTGCGGAGGTCATCCAGCAAGGCGACCAAAGCAAAACCAAATTGAAAGGTATCTAAGTAACCTGTTTCATCCAGAAATCCCTAGAGTTGGGAGGCCACCACACGCTCCAAAACCTTGCTCAAAAAGGAGTTGGACACTGGCGATAGTTGTCCATTATGGAGGGATTAAGGGATGGCTTTTTAAATAGAGGTCTCACAACTGCCTCCTTTAGGCAGGTTGGAACTTTGCCTTGTTCTAAGGAGCCACTGATCATCTCCTTTACCCACTCTGCCAGTCCTTCTCTGGCCTGTTTGATCAGCCAGGAAGGACAAGGATCTAGAAGACATGTGGTAGCTCTCAACTCTTCAGGAATCCTGTCCACATCCTCATGCTGTACAAATTGAAACATATCCATCAACACTGGCCAAGCAGGAGCCAAAGTTATATCCACTGAACCTGTATCAACAACACCATCCAAATCAGAACGGATCTGAGCGACTTTATCTGCATAGTGCCTTACAAATTCTTCACAGCAGACTGCTGAATGGTCAGGGATTTTTCCTTGAGAACCAGTATGTAATATCACTCTGACCACTTGAAACAACTCAGGTGGATGATTCCTTGCAGGTGTAATGGTGGCAACAATTTCTCTTCTGTCTCTACTGCTGCAGAGTAGGGTTTTAAATATACTCTAGCCCATGCTCGGTCGGATTGGCTTCGAGTTCTCAGCCAACACTGCTCTAGTTTCATCTCACTTGCTTCATCGCTATCAACTCCTTGGAAAACCAAGAGGCTGGTTTGGTTCTACTCTGTGAGAGGGGATGTTCAGGAGCAATTGTGTTCACTGCCCTGGCCATTTCCCCATTGCAGAGGTCAGCCAGAGCTTCGACAGGTGACAGGAAAATCCCCAAGAGCCGTATGGAATCCATCCGGATCCATTAGCCTTCTGGGGCAGACCATCTTAATCCCCCACTCCTGCGGAGGTTTGAAGTCCCAGTGAGTCTAAATCTGACCAGGTAGTGATCGGTTCATGACAATGGAACTGTGACCAGTTCCTCCACACCACAGTCACTATCATCCCATCCAGCACAGAAAACAGGGTCCAAAATGTGTCCAGAAGCATGGGTAGGACAAGACACTACCTGGGATAGGCCCATGGTTGTCATGGAGGCCATGAAGTCCTGAGCCACTCCCGACCCGCAGTCTCAGCATGAATGCTGCAGTCTCTCCACACTATTAGCCACTAACCCTGAAACCATCCCAGCTAGCTCAAGAAGGGAGATTATTGAACTGCGGAGTGGGCAGTACGCCAACAGAATCCCTATTCTGTCCTGGTCACCCACCTTTAGGTAAACACACTCAAACACTGTTGACTGTGGAATGGGGAACCTGGTTGGGGGA